CAAGTGGGCTGGCGCCAGCAGCAGGTGCAAACACCAGGCAGGTTCACGGTGCATAGGAGCAAAGAATTTTCAGTAACCACCAGAGGCTCACGCTGATGACGACGGCAACCAGCCTTGGTCTGGCACCCCTGCTCACCCGCCCCACCATCCCACCTCAGCCGATACCTGCCATGTTTTATGTGTTCCCTATGGTGGTCAGCGCACATCCTAGCAACTAGTTGTTTAGTTGTTCGGTTGTTCTGCTGTTCAGTCTATTTGCATATTAGGGTTTTATATAGAAAGATTACCAATTTACATGTCTTTCCCCTTTAAGATTACCAACATCTTAAGGTTAGTAATTATGTCTTATCAACAATAATAGCTAGCATCTATTGCAGACTTATCTAAATGTGCTTTACAAGTATTACCTTACTTAATTATCAAAAATATTGAGGAGATAGGTACTATTATTATCTTCACTTTAAGAAAACTGATGCTTAGACAAATCTTTTCATCTCTGTACACTGAGTGCACACCCAATGCCTAACCTGTCATGAGCATTCAATAAATACTTGTCATATAATTTCCTTCAGCCCAATAGGCAGAGATAGCAGGATAAAGATAATATCCTTTGTATTCCAAAATATGCAGTATATCCAAAACATTATAAAATCACAGAAGGCCCAGAACAGCCTGCCTTCTACTTGTGCTTCCAAAGGAGGGCCAGTGAAAGGTTCAGGTTGTCCCAGACCGTGGGGAAGGTGTTTTCTCAGAAGCAGGCACCTCAACAAGGGGGTGTCAGTACCTCCACCACTAGGTATCTGTGCTTTCCTGGGGAATGGAGAGAGCTGAGCAGGGGAGGGGAGCTCAGGACAACTCACACTCCACCCTCCAGGAGCTTCCACCCACAGAAGACCAAACCCTCTTCATAACACGTTGCAGAAGAGTTCCGTCTAGCTGGCTGGGCTCAGCAGGCATCATTCTTATAATCAGTGCATGCTGTGCCCTCTGCATTCCCGAAACCAGTTTACCTGGGACAGAAGAGATGGGTTCCTATGTCCACATGGAAAGCTAAGAAATGAGAGTGGCAAAGGACTACTGAGAATGAACCCAGATAGCAACAACCATCAAGCTCACATGCAAATACACATGGGCACACAGATACACTCACAAAGAAACTCTGTCCTTTGCACCACTGACCCATAGTTCTATAGTTAGCTTTTGTCATCTTACTCCTGCTCTTGTTGCTAGCTCACAGTTCCCTCATCATTTCAAGACGTTCCATAAATCATGATATAACCAACCTGAGACTCTTCCTCTGGGCCTAAGACATTTTGACAATTTTGACCAAGTAGGGAGGCCAGCTATGGTGCCCTGACCTGTCTGCACCAAATAGGAAGTGGATGCTTTCATGGTATATGAATTGTGCTATCCTTTGTATCATGCTATGTATATAATTCTGGCTTAAGAATACAGGCAGAATTTGTACCTCAGCTGAAGATGTTCTGATTAAATTAAGCAAAGGTAATTTTTTTTTAAGTATTTGGGGTCTGACAGGTTCATCCTCCAAAAATTGGAAATTAAGATAGATTTGAGTTATAAAATATACACATAATAGATCAGGAACATCAGGTCACCTGAAAGAAAGAGAATGGCTGTTAGATCAGAGCTGGACTTACTTCGAACATGCTTGAAATGTGCTAACCTGAAATAAGAAAGAATTGTTCCCTGGGGTGGGGCTCGGTCAGCCACAGAAGCAGGAAGCAATTGGAAGCAGAGAGTCATGCACTGACTGGCAGTGTCCATCCTAGGACCAATCAGCACAAGGAGAACTTTAGGCATTCGGCTCCCATTCTTTTGGGAACCATGGCAAGGCTCTCCCTATGTAGAGCAGGTGGGCAGAATGCTTAGATTCAGTTCTTTTTTAAGATTTTTTTATTGGTTTTGAGAGAGAGGGTAGGAGAGAGATAGAGAGATGAGAGAGAGAGAGAGAGAGAGAGAGAGAGAGAGAGAGAGAGAGAGAGAGAGAGAGAGAGAGAGAGAGAGATATCAATGTGAGAGCAAAACATCAATCAGCTGCCTCCTGCACACCCCCTACTGGGGATCAAGCCCTCAACCTGGGGCATGTGCCCTGACTGGAAATCAAACCTGCAGCTTTTTGGTGCATGGGATGACAACCAACCAACTGAGCCACACTTGCCAGGACTGGATTTAGTTCTTTGATGGCAAGGCGAGAACTGGTTTAAGAAGGGCTGCCTAAAGGGCCACATGGGCTAGCACCTGAGAGTCAGGGAACAGCAGGCTGGCGCTGTAGGGCCAGTCCCTGGCGTTAGCTAGGTTTCCCAGGCTACCTGTGTATTAGCTAATTTGAATAATTTCACAGGTTCCCAGGCACAAAAGCAGTAACTAGTTGTCTGGTCTGTGGCCCTGGAGCAATTCAGGCTGGGGCTGAGGCTGGGGCTGGTGCCTAGTGGCTTGGAGTTTGAGAGCTTGAAGGGAAGTGGTTGGGATGTTGACTTAATCGGCTCTTAAGGGAAACTCTCTAGGCTCTACGCAGAGTTTCAAAACTGGGTCAAGACACATTTAAAAAATAAATTTAAAACATTGCATTCCACAGAGTGGTTTTATCTTGCATGCCTACTCAGACCCATCTCCTGGGGCCCAGTGGGAAAGGATTCTGAGTGCAGGCTCAGCAGGGAGCATCCTGAGATGGATGGGTGAAGCAAGGTAGGAGTATGGGGCAGCACAGCTCCCACAGCTGACCCAGATGCAGAGAGCTCTGTCTTGGATTCAGGCTGCCCTGGAGCAAAGAGCCTCCCCATAGTGAGGAGGAGGCATTAGCTGTCTTCACCAGATGACTAGAGCAGGGACTGATAGCAGGAGTTAATCATTCTTTATGACTGCTTCCGGTTCATTTTCCTCAATGCCCTGTAAGACCATTTGCATTTATATATATATATATATATATATATATATATATATATATATATATATATATATTATATTCTTATTATTTATATACTTATTAAGTGCATGTTTAGTATCCATCTTCTCACTAGAATATTAGCTCCAGCGGGGACTTACTTGATTCACCAGAGTATATGGCCCATGCCTAGTAAAATGGCTCTTTCAGAATTGGCATTCTAGAATATTTGTTGAACGAGTCCTTGAATAAAAATAAATGAAACAATAAATGGGGGAATGGAACTCTCCTTACTCACCAAGCAATTTTTTTTTATCCTGGTGGGGTTCCTTTGAAGAAAAAAAAAAATCCCCATCACAATGTCAGGAGTACGTCTGGTATTTCTCATAAAATTATAGCTGGAATCCAGGGAGTGCCTTATTCGTATTTAGTTAACATGGCTCATGCACACAGGGACAGTCCACCTCTGGACACATAGAGGTTCTAGCTAGACTAGAAAAATAGCGGTTGGTTTTAGCAGTATCCTCTTCCACCCTTAGGAAAAGGTGCCCCCTCCAACATCCGGTTTTATTTTTCTACTTAGAATTTCTACCAAACCATCAGCAAAGTCTTTGTAGTAGATACTACCACATGGTTTCTTGGGTTCTTGGGTTAAATAAAATCTGCTGGAGCTGGAAAGATTTTTCTGCATCGACTTTCATCCTTGCTGCTTAATTAAATCCCTCACCTGGGAAACGAGTAATTTTCAGCCATCTTGCGCTCTGTGGCATCAGCATGAAACTGTGACTTTGGAAATACCAGAATGCCAGTTGTGTTTAATGTTTCAGGGGCAACAGCCTATTCTATTTGGAATCCCCCACGAAGATAGATATTAACTGAGAATTGAAAATGACAGCAGAGGAGATTGAATCAGAAGAGCAAAAGGAGCACACAAATCTACTTCCCCTCTTTCTACAATCCCTTAAAATGTCAGAAAATATATATTTTGTAAAGAGGACATTTACACCAATAGTAGGAAAAAAGGAATAATGCTATCAGAGACCCAAAAATCTTGGGAGTTTTCCTGGCAGCCTAGGATAATAGAATTGGGTTGAAAACAACGAAGATGCCAGAGACCAAAGAATGCTCAGGGAGAGAGAAACAACTGTAAATGTAAGAGCACAAAGAGACACTAAACTCAGCAAATTTACTGAAGAGCGAGGGTTGTCTCTGGTGGCTTGTTTCTTCACCCTACCCTGCCCTTTGTCATGAGACTTTGCAATGCCTCTTACCACAGAAGTGGTACCTATTACCCATCCCTTGAGTCTGGAATGGCCTCATGACTTGCTTTGCCCCATAGAAATGACAATGTATAGAAGGAATTAAAACATACATCCACACTCAAACACACATGCGGATGTGAAAATCAAACAAGAAGTGGCAAACCACCACCATATCAACGAAAACATGTACGTTCTCAGTTAAACTCAAGTAATTCTTGATGAATGACATAGCATGCATGTGCGCACGCACAGACACACGTCTGGAACAAAATTCCAAATTATGCCAACATGCAAGGTGGCAGGCCAGGAAAGTAGAGCTAAGTATAAGGTACTGAGAAAACGTAGATAATGACTAATTTTAGATGTCAATAGTAAACAAAAAAATCAAAATACATATACATACATAAAAATGTAAATGTATGGGAAGGATCTAGGAGGAAACAGGGAAACCATGGACAGTGGTCACCTCTGGGCAATGAGAGGAGATTATAGGGCAGCATATGAAGGTCAACTTGCACCTTGAAACTTATCGACATCCAAATCTTGGAGTTTTTAACCATGCAAATATGATTATTTTTGTATAAAAGTAAAGCTGAGAATTATTTTTTAATATAGCTATCCAAATTTTACTTGCTTTCAATATGTAGCAAAGCTATTTTCATGAGTGGGAAGAACTGGTAAAAGTCATGTTTACTTCATTTCTACTAGTATGTGTTTTAGGATCATTTGTATAAATGAAAAACTGTTGCTTCCAGCTTTTAAGTAGTATTTTTTGTTGTTGTTGTTGTTTTATCCCCTTCTGCTTTCTCACCCAACTCATTCACTTTTCATCCTAGACCAGGAGACATGATCACTCTTCTAGAAGATTCCAATGAAGACTGGTGGAAAGTAAGTATTTTTCTTTCTTTTATATATATATATTTAAAAAAAGAATCATTTGGTGGCTGTCATTAAATGAATGGTATAATTACAATGAATTGTGGATGCATGTCTCCTTTTTCCTTTCAGGGGAAAATTCAAGACAGGATTGGCTTCTTCCCAGCCAACTTTGTTCAGAGAGTACAGCAGAATGAGAAGATTTTTAGATGTGTTAGAACCTTCATTGGGTGTAAGGAACAGGGGCAGATAACACTGAAAGAGAATCAGGTGAGTAATGTTGAGTCTGACCAAAACAGAGTAACAGCCATCTACAAATCTGAATGAGCAGTGTCATCGCCTTGAGAAAATATATTCTCGCTCCAACCATATGATCACAGTAGGATCTAAACATGCAAAACCAAAATGTTAGGAAGCTGACTTGGTGGTGTCTGTCCATGAGAGGAAATGTACATAACGTCATGGCAACAGGATGAGGACATCTGGTCCCCGTGCTTTTCTCTGAGGATCACTGGTCTCGGATGAGGGCAACTACTCCAGGCTGGGCTCCATGCTGGTCTCCATACATGTGTGGTTCACTTTTCATGGTCTTTTGGGGAGAGTGTGCCGTTACCTGCTGCTGGGTTGCACAATTCATTGCATTTACTTTCAGTCACAAAGACCCCTCTTAAGTCTCCTTGTGCAGATTCCAAGCTTCGGCCTGCTCCCTGGAAACCATGACACTCCCTAACCAGGGACTCCCTCCGGCCCAAGCCCTGGATATCCCTCTACATCTAAGGTAGAGATGAACGTGGGCTTCATTGTGATCACACTGATTTCCTGAGAAGTAAGGCAGGAACCCCCGTTAAGGTGACCAGACGTCCCGCTTCCCTCCAGCACCCAGGACCCGGGCTTCCCTCACAGCCCCAGCTTCATCTGGAAGGACATTCAGAAGGATGCCCGGTCTAATTAGCATATTATGCTTCTATTATTATAGATGTTTAAGACACAACACAGCTTTCAGCCTGAACCTGGAACCACATAGATCTGCCTGTAACTCTGTAGGAAAGTGACATAACCCCTGATAGGTGCCCAGTATGGTGTTTCTTAAGGTGTGGTCTTCAGACCACCTGAATCAGAATCACCTGGGAGCTTGCTGAATATGCAGAATTCCTGACTCCACCCTAAACCCGCTGAAGCAGAACCTTTCCGGATAAAAGGCAAAGAATCAGTCTCTTTTACAGACTCCCTAAGTGTTCTGATCAAAGTTAATGGTTGAGAATGACCTTCATTTTCATCGCCTCACTTTAAGTCCTATTATAGCTCTGTGAGAACTGAAGGCATTTTTATTTCCAATTACATATCGATCAACAAAAGCCTCTGAGGTCTCTTTATCGCGACACAGATTCTCTATTTTCTATCTTTGTCAATGTGGCAACCAATTTCAGTGTCATCTACTTGAAAGAAAATTTATATTTCAAAAAATGTTTTTATTGATTTTTAGAGAGAGAGGAAAAGAGAGTAATAGAGAGATAGAAACATCCTTGAGAAAGAAACATTATCTTGCATGATCCCTACCAGGGATGGATCCAGCAGCCCAGATATGTGCCCTGACTGGGAATGGAACTGCAACCTCTTGGTTCCAGGGTTGACTGAGCCACATTGACTGGGCAAAAATTTACATTTTACAAATCTTTTATTGAGAAAAAAAATTAAATTTGTCTCCACTTTAGTATCCTAAATTATTTTAGCTGTTAAATTTCAAAGCATGCTTATTAATGGAGGGGAGTACAATGTAGTAACAAGAACATGGATTCCAGTGCCACACCGAAATGGATCCATATCCTTCGTGGTTTTGGCAGAGCTACCTGTGAATATCAACATTCCTATCTGTAAAATGGGTATAGTAGCATCTCCCTCTTGACGTGCAGTGAGAGTTCAATGTTATCACCTGTATAAAAACCCAGCACAATGCCTAGCCAGGATGGAAGCTTAGTAAGGTCATTTCCTTTGCTGCCAACATCACTCAGAGTTAAGCCTAAATGGGGTATTCATCTGCAGTTGCTAATGCCACCTAAAATTACCTACTAAGCAAAATTAGCCAGTATGATATTTATAACCCTAAAAATATGAAGAGACAAAAACTCATTAGCAGAGAAATAGAAGAAATTTGATTCTGAAAATAAATGCATCTCTGATTAAATCATGCTCCTGCATCTTAGGTAAATTTGTCTCACAGTCATTATATTATTTTTTTCACAGAGCCTCTGTTTCCAAATAGAATTAAGTTACCCTTTCGTTGTGAACACAACTAGTCTGCCATGACATGAGTATGTCTTCTTCATTTTGGAAATTTTAAAAGTATCCTTATTAAATCAACTTTAATGAAAGTATTTTTAGTCCATTCCACAGTTCTGCCATCCCTATAAAACTGTTTCATTGATTCTTTGTGTTCTGTAAAGCTTTAAATAAAATAATATTTTAGATTATAAAACTAGGCTCATTTATTGTGGAGAAAATTTGGAAAAGTACAAAGAAGAAAATAAAGATCACACGTAATTCACCCATCAACTATTATTAACATAAACACTTTGATATATTTCCTTACCAAATTTCTCTTCTAATTTATATTTTGTTATTATATTCTGCTTAGTTCCCAACTAATTTTCTAAACTTAGTCACTATATGTTTATGCACACACAGTTTTTTTACAGTTGTATAACAAACATGTCATATAAATCAGAGGTTGATAAACCCATTAATTAAATCTGGCCTGGCTTTTAAAGTTTATTAGGACAAAGTTTATTAAAACATAGACTCATGCACATATATAATCTGCTACTGCTTTCACACTACAGTGGTTGAGTTGGGTCATTGCAACAAAGACAATACAGCCTCAGAAGCCTAAAATATTTACTCTGTTCCTTTACAGAAAAAGTTAGCCGACCCCTGATCCAGATGTATTAGTATTTAAGTATTCTATTGTTGTATATTTAGAGTTTTTATTTGTTTAACTGTTATTGATAACTACAATAAACATCTCTAAACCCAAATCTTTCTCCATAACTCAGAGTTCAGCACCTAAGGATAGACTTTAGAGCTTATAGGAAAACATATAAAAGATTTTTACAATTCTTGATACATTTTACAAAATCGCCTCTAAAAAGGTTGGGCTGATTTATACCCACATCAACTGTTTATGAGAATATTCCGGTCACCACATCCTTGCCAGAATTGAACATTAATATTTTTATGTCACTTGGTAGGTGAATAATATTTCATATTAATCTACATTTCCAGGATAGTTAGAGAGGTTGGAATGTTATCACCTATGTATTAGGCACTATATTTCTTTTACAAAATAATCGATTTGAATACTTTACCTATTTTCTTACAGTATTGAAAAAGTTTCCTGTCTTTTAAGAATATTTACAACCGGTTTACCACATGTGGCCAGCATTTTCTGATCTATCATTTGGCCTTGAATCTTAAAGCTTCTCCCTTCAGAAACTTAGTAATTCTTTGATTGAACCATCTCCATTTAATCATATTTACCTTCAAGTGTTCATCTCTGTATCACTTTCTACTTTATGTATCACTCTCCACTTCTTCCTAAGAGAATATTTCAAGAAGACCTCCTTCCCTTCAATTTTCTGAAGTTTCACTTCAATCCTTCATGGCTTTTCACACAGCTTTTAATTTAGTGACCATTTCCTTATAGTGTTTTCTTCTCAATTAGTCCCTTTCTTCTGCAACATGTTCTCTTTACCTCTCATTACGTCACACTTAACCTCAAGAGAGTCTTTCCTTAAAGCATCGAGACTAAATCTCCCTTCAACCTACTCTATCCCCTTATTCTTTCAGACGTATGCACACATTTTCTGGAATATTTTTTCATGTTTTGTAGTAATAGCCTTGATCCATTTATTTTGTGGTAAGCAGACCAACAGCCTCATGTCCTAATCTTGAAAACTTTGAGCATGTTGCCTTAGCAGGGCAAAAAGGACTTACAGATATGGTTAACCTTAGGACCTTGAGCTGGAAGATTATCCTGTATTATCTGGATGAGCCCAGTGTAACCACAGTTCTTATGAGAGGAGGACAGAAAGGTCAAAGTCAGATAAGTAGACATGACGATGGAAGCAGAAGTCAGAGAGAGAAATTGGAAGAAGTTATGCTGCTGGCCTTGAAGATGGAAGAAGGGGCCAGGAGCCAAGGAATATGGGTGGCCTCAAATAGCTGAGGGCAAGAAAACAGATCCTTTCTTACAGCCTCCAAAAGAAATGCAGCCCTATTGACACCTTGATTTTAGGACTTCTGATCTCCAGAACCGCATGAAAATAAATCTGTGTTCTATCAAGTCGCCAAATTTATTACAGCAGCCATAGGAAACTAATGCAAAAGGGGACCTGCAGATAGACTAAGGTTACAGACCTGTGATGGGAGCTATCTTAGATTGTTTTGGTTGGCCAAATCTAATAACTTGCACCCTTAATGGCAGTGAAATGTATATGACTAGAGTCAGAGATGCCGAAAAAGAGGGCCAAAGACATGAGATCAGAGATTAAGTGTAAAAAGGACTCAACCCACCAATACTGGATTTGAAGGTGTAGGACTGAGCCACAAGCCAGGGAATACAGGTGGCATTTTAAGTTGACAATTAGCAAGAAAGCAGGAACCTCACTCCTACAACCACACGGAACTGAATTTGGCAACAATCTAAGTGAGCCTGAAATTGGATTCTCTCCTAGAGAAATAGAAAGGAAAGAAAAGAATATGGCCCCATTGACATCTCCACTTTGGCCTTGTGAAACTCAGAGCAGAGAAAAGTAGCCTCGCCCACCAGACATCAGACCTACAGACCTGAGATAATAAATTGTGCCGTGTAAAGCCACTATGTTTAGTAATTCGTTACAACAATAGCAAACTAATACACATCTCAAGTTACAAAACTCAAACTGAGTCAGATGGTACATTTTATTCATGTAAGAGATCTGGATTTAAGAAAGTTATTGGATTCCATAGTCAGGGCTTCAGATTTTTCTACCTTTATGCTCTGCCACTGTCACAATATTAGCCACCTCCCCTCGTGGCCTTAGATGGCTGCAGACACTCAAAGAATGTGTGCAGACACATTCAAGAATCCCTTCCAGATGAGGAGAGAGATTTTCTTCTAATCCATCTCTTTTAAGAGGAAAACACACTTTCCCACCCTGGTTCCTTGGCTAGAACCACTAAGAGAATCACTAGCAAGGGGAATAGAAGCAGACTTGCCCCGATTAGGATTTACCTGAATCGTGCTGCAGAGATAAAGACAGCAGAACAGAAGCAGAACGAACTCTGCTATGTGGGAAAATAACAAACATTACTGTGGATATCAACCAACAACCTTCAGCCATTTACCTAAACTAGAACAAGGAGTGATCAGTGCAGAGCGGAGGTTCTCCAGCTGAAAAGATGAGCCAATCAGCTTCTGAATGGCCAGGATCGGTGTGGATCCAGCTCAGGGTCCACTCGGGTGTATTCAGGTCTACTCAGTTGGAGGAGCAGGTAATTATGGATGACTCATACTAACTTCTGGCAGCGAAGAAGCATTTATCTAATATTGGTCTCCTAGGTTGGGTTAGGATTTGCTTCTTTCACCATTACTTCCCTCGCCCTTCTCCCCTCCTCCCCCTCAACATTCTGAATTCCTGGAGTACATAAAAAACTACTTTCGGCTTTGTATGAAACCCCCATAGTCTTTCTGTCTCCATTCCACCCACTGTGTTTTATTTGTTGGGACGTCAACCCCCAAGAGACACTCGTGCTACCTCTAATCTGCCCTACTTCCTGTCAGTTCCTTTTCTTGGAGGACCACATCTTCTAACAAATGTAGAAAGGAAAGCATTGATTGGGAGGAGTAGAGCCCTTAATAAGAAAAATGGCTACCCAGTTTTCAGCTCTGGGCAGCTGCTGAAGCTCTGAGCCTGAGACAGACCTTGGAGGAGAAGATCTCTTTTAGGCTGGTAGATATATCCTTGACACAGCAGCACAACTTGCTTCAGTTGTCAACTGAGTTCAGCACCAAAGGTCTGAAATTCCAATCAGCTTCTGAATGGCCGTCAGTCTTGGCATTTAGTGTTTATGACTATTCTTCTCTACCTCCAGCTCTGTATCTTTTCATAGGTATTTTGAGGGGAGGAAGACTCAATCCAAGAGTGCTAGGCAAAAAAAAATGTTGTTTTTTTTTTAAGTAAAATGATTGCTCATCTATGAGTGGCAACCATTTTAATGTTAATGAGTTTGGAGGACATGCAGGGAACAACCTTAAATGGTATTAAGTATATGTGATCCCAGAAGACTTCGGGATTTTAACCAGACAGGGCCAAATGGGACTGAGCCAATAGGGCACTTGACCATTATGCAATAGAATTTGAGGCAACAGAAGAGAAGAAACAGAGGGCCAGGCAGGAGTGAGTCAGCAAGCAGGTATCAAGTTGAGACAAGAGTGTGGAAAATCCAGCCCACACCGTTGTCTTCAAGAACTAGGAGGAGTGAGAACAGGTGAGTGATAGAGCTACAAATGTACAAACTGGAGCAGAAACATGGATGACTAGTGTTAAAATATTAGTAATAATAGACTAAGAGACCAAAGATTGAATGCTAAGTGTTAAAGATTAACTACAAAGCTGAATTTGCAACCCAGCAAAGAGTTTAGGCTCTGGGGCATGAGATCAGGGAATAAATGAGGTAAATCTTTTAAGATAGAAAATAATAACATATATCTGTTTCATATTAGAAAGGCAAAGTCTCCAAGTGATGCTGCGGGGATGTCTATAGCTGGGCTTGATAGTTAGCTAAGCACTGGACTGGCTAAAGATGGTATACTGTGTATGTGAGGTGCCTCTGCTCTGCATATGCTGCACCCACCTTGGTACTGAGATGCCCCACTTACCACAGCTACACATGATTGTCAAAGTCAAGTCCACACCATTGTCAGTGAACCAAGTGGACAGGTCAGGATCGGTCAGCAGTGGGAAGAAGATTGGTTCAGCCTTTAGAAGTCTTTTGACTGTAAAGAGAGAGGGGGTGTGGAGAGGAAGGAAGGAAGAGAATAAAAAAGGAGAGACAGAAGGATTACAACAGGTAGCGAAAGAAAAAGAGGGAGGAGGGGAGGAATGGAAAAAAGAAACGCTTTAAATCAAACTGACCCTCTCCTTTCTCCACTTAAAATCCTTTAACACCCAACTGTTGACTGATGCCAACATTCATTTTTGCCTTTTTCCCATGCTGCAGAGTCCTGATTTTTGTTTTCTTGTCCATCTGTATCTTCTATGACTCAGGTAAATCCTAACTGAACTGATTGAATGGGTCTTATTCTCCTTCCTGGTGATTATTTTGGTGGTTGTCTTGTGACCCACGTCCAGTCAATGAGATTGGTCAGAAGGTCAGCAAAGGGACTTAGCAGGCTTAGCATGGCTGCATGTCCACACATTCCTGGCCCTGACAGCCTTTCTGGCTTTATCTCACACCATTCACCACCTCCATCTCTGGCTGCATTGTTCTAGCTAGTCATTCCAAAGTGCCACAAAGTTACCTGCTAGGTGAGATCAGATTACCATATATTTTCACATCAGCACCTTTTTCTTTACTCATTAATTATTCAAAAATATTAGTTACTTAAGCTGTCAGTCAGTTTTACTAAGTGTTGTTCACTGGATGATCAGTGACTAACACAGGCATGGTCCTTGCACTCAACATGCACGAAATTACTCAATGAAATGTCTTTCTCCCCAGGTCTGCTCAATAAACAATATGAGAGCAGAAGTCTGTCTGTTTTCACTAGTTTTCACGCTTCTGGAATGGTATCTAGCACATAGTAGGTTCCCAATAAAAATTTGTTGAATGAAGAATGAATGCAGAAAGCATGGAATTACAGGTTCCTTAGACACTTGAGGTGTCTCTGGTGTAGCCTAATGAGATAAATATTTGCTGGGATAATAAGCAACCCTGCTTGTCTGGGACCGAGGAATTTCCCAGAATATGGGAGGTCCAGTGCTAAAATTGAGAAAGTCCCAGGCAAACCAAAATAAGTTTGTCACCCTATTTGTAACCCTTCAACCCAAAGGAGCTCCTCTGGTTATCCCTCAGCTCCCACCCTTTTCTACTCACAATTAATCTTCTGAGCTGGTCTTTCCATTCCACCTTTAAATGAAAGGAAGTGTTCCCAGCTCTGTCACTGCTTCCTAAAATGGTAGACTCTCAAGCTTTTCTTGATCCTCATTCATCAAGCTGAACCTCAGAAAACATTCAATCCCTGGACTAGTTCCAAACCCAGGGTTCTTCCCAATTTAAAATATATATACTGTTTTGAGAAAGAGAAGTAGAAAAAGAGAGAGAAAAAAATTAATGAGAGAGAGAGAAACTCTATTTGTTGTTCCACCTATGTATGCATTCATTGGTTGATTTTACATATATCCTGACCAGGGATGTGAACCTGCAACCTTGGTGTATTAGAACAATGCTCTAACCAACTGAGCTGCCTGGCCAGGGCAGCCTAATTTGTTATCAAACTTTTTCTCACAGGGCCATAACATCCCACACTAACACTGCTCTCTCTTTTCCAATCCAATGCCCCGATGACCTCAGTCAACAGTGATTCCGGTGTAGGTTCTAGCTCCTTTCTTATTGACATTTGTTTTTTCTTTCCTTGGCATTCAGATCTGCCTGACTTCTGAAGAAGAACAGGACGGCTTCATCAGAGTCCTCAGCGGAAAGAAGAGAGGCCTTGTTCCCCTGGATGTCCTAGAAAATGTCTGATTGCGGGCCCCTCCTCCTTTTGCAGTAGGCAAGCCCTCCTGCGATGCCTCATCTCACACTGTGTCAACCCAGAGGAGCTGTCACAACGATCCCGCCACCCAGGAAACAGTGAGAACAGACTCAAGAATCTGAGACTGTGGAGTATCAGCCACCAGAGAGAGGGTCCATGGCACAGCATATCCTGGCTGCCCAAGGTGGGGATGAGGCTGAGAAAGTCACCGGCAGAGCTGAGGTCCCTACCGGGTGGCAGTAAAAGGACAGAAACCACAGCTGTTCCCCAGGACTCAACTCCCTTTCTGCCCTGTGGTGTAAGTTAACCCACTGAAGTGTACTTGGTCTGAAGTATGGCCCCAGTGTGAGGTTCAGGTCCCTGTAGTCAAGTGTGATTCGGATTCCAGACCTTTGTCCTCAATACCAACCAATGAGCATCATCACAGTTGAGACCCCAAGCAATCTCTCTGCAGAGCATCAGGAAGTCCTACTTCCTAGCTCCCAACATTCCAGGGTTCCCCAGGACCCCACACTTTGTGATTGTGCTGTCTTTTCTGTCCTGAGTCCTAGCAGTGTGCATAACACGTGAGAGCCAAGCGGATGTGTCACCAATTATAAAGACCTGACCTGCTCAAAGAAGGCTGACAGGCAGTCTCCCCTGCTGCTCTAGGGACTGACAGGTGACAGAGCAGGACAGGAGACTATGAATTCAAAGGGCGAAGGGGGGATAAAGTAGCGAAAGGGGCCCTTATTTATTGAAGATTTACAGCCCTTTCAGTAATGAAGTCCTTTCCCCAAGGAGATGGAGCTGGGGAGGAGAATGTGGCAAAAAGCCTCCATGAGGAGCTTCACTTTCATTTTATGTCTTCTGTGTTCAGGGAACATTTCCCATCATGCCATTTTGTAGGACTCCCTCTTGGAGGGCTGAGTCCACCTTGCAAAGAACCAGAAACATGGGAGAGATCCAACAGCATCTTAGGAGAAAATTAGCCAAATTGGAATCCATTCTTCTTTAGGGCAGTATATTCTACCCTAGCAGATGGCAAATGGAAAAGGATCCCCAGTGCTTCAGCCTCTGAACACAGAGGAAGGTGGGGCCTACTTAGCATCAACGAGGGGAGTTTCTGTTACTCTGTACTTATACTAATGTTTACAAGAATGCAATATACTGTGATGCCTTCCTTCTCATTCCAATGTGCATCTGATGACTCTTTAATATGGTTAAACTTTGCTTCACCATGACCTTGGAATCAATGTCAGTTTGATGTATTTTGGTGCAAAGCAATAAAGCATTAGAACAATTGGTTTTTAAAAGATGTAAGTAGCTGCATCCTGTGCATGTAAGCATCATTGGGAAACCAAAGCTTCATCCGTCTCCATGTACATCTTTTGTTACTGTTCAGCATGAAGTGGGGAGCTGAAATGGGATGGCTGCTGGTTTCACAGCACTTTGGATGCCTTACTCTTGTTTTTAAGCCAGCCTCCCTCTCTGATACAACATGTAAAACTCAGTGTACAGAGTTGGAGGGGTTCTTTGAGAGCCAGGTTGGGTAAGATGACTGCCATTCTGTAACATGGAATGCCAGGTACCAATGCTCTTTGCCTCTAATTCAATATTCCACTTAATAAAAACAACACATTGGCTGGAAGGAGCATAGAAAACGTGTGTCCTGTTCTCTTCTTTCTGGTAGAATATCCACTGAAGCCCTTTGGTAAGGTGGTCTCCCATCCTATGCAAATTTGCATTTAAAAGCCACTGTGGCCCAGCCAGCATGGCTCAGTGGTTGAGCATTGACTTATGATCCAGGAGATCACAGTTCGATTTCCAATCAGGGCATATGCCCAGGTGGCAGGCTTGATCTTCATTGTGGAACATGCAGGAGTCGTCTATCAATGATTCTCTCTCATCATTGAGGTTTCTATCTCTCTCTTCCTCTCCCTTCCTCTTTGAAGTCAATAAAAATATATTTAAAATAAAAAGTCATTTTGTCTTTTGAAGTTGAATAGGAGGCTGTGATGGGCAGCCTCCAAAGTGGTACCCTGATGAATTATCCCTACCTCCTGGTAATGTTGCCTTTGTGTAGGCCACATTGAATCAGGGCTGGTCTTATGTAACCAACAGAACACAGCAGAAGTGACATCACAGCACATGTGGGGCTGGGTCCAAAAGTCCTTGCAGCTTCTGCCTTGACCTCATGGAACATTCACCCTGGGAATTCTGAGCCACCGTGTATGTTTGTCTATTCTGAGGCCACCAGGCAGGTGGGGCCAGTAGAGAGACCACACTTCTGCAGTAGGTCACTCAATTTTTTAATGATTTTTTTAAATACAAAAATACAGGGACTTGGAAATTTGAGCCAATGCTAGAAAGGAGAAAACATAGTTTCTGCAATATGAGGCCCAAAAGTTTTTACAAACATCAAGTAACCCTCCAAATGCAAGATATCTAGTGTGCCTTGGAGATGTGGTCTTCCATATATTAGAGAAAAAGGCAGTGTTTCTCACAGCACAGACTGCCACAGATACTTAATGAGAGAGAGAGAGAGAGAGAGAGAGAGAGAGAGAGAGAGAGAGAGAGAGAGAGAGACAGAAAGAAAGAAAGAAAGAAAGAAAGAAAGAAAGAAAGAAAGAAAGAAAGAAAGAAAGAAAGAAAGAAAGAAAGATTGATTCACTTTAGGAGCCACAGCATTTTTTTTTCTCCTGCCTGTCTGCAGAAATAGCTAGAACAAGGATAGCTGTGATATACCAAGACCTAAGAAAAGGATGGAAGAAGGGCAACAGTCTCAGAAAGGGGATGAAATGAGGGCCTCAGGATTCTGTCTCTAGGGAGGGGTTAGGGAAGGAGAGGAAAAATGCTAAAATATAGAAGAATAAAGGTCCTGGGGAGTATTCTTCACAGTATGAAGGAACAGGTTTGTACCCGCTCATCTCCTCGCCTTGCCTCCAGCTGAGGAATGGTGCATATGTACCTCACCCAGTGGAGCTGTGTCTGACACTTCACCACCAATGCTGGAGGATGTGCATTCAATCATGGTGGGTCTGAAATAAAGAACTGGTTGAACCTTCCTCAGGCCTCCAGAAGGTGAAGGATTGAACTTCTTTTACCCCATCACTAGCAGACTGAGACCTCAGTGTGGGCAGTAGGGCTGCAAAGAGAACCCATGGATAGGTGTGTAGAGTTGGATGGGTTCCAAGGATAGGTGTCCAGCTAGCTACCAGTAGGGTTGATTGCACAGAGCACTGTAACTGCCTAACTCTCCACACCAAACACACACACACACACACACACACACACACACACACACACTCCATCAAGAGGAAGTGTCCAGCAGCTGGACTAAACATTTAAAGAAGCTAGTGGGGTAGTACATAGTAGAAATGTATTAGAGTTAATTCACTTTGCTATTAAAGAGAGAGAAGTAAAATCCACGAAAAGATCACAGCATATGTAAATAGCCTTGTGCCAAGTCCTGCTAAAAGTAACAAAATAAAAATAAAAGAAACACCATGAAAGTCCAAAAATGGTCCAGGTCATGGCTGCTCCAAGAAGAAGAGAGCCAGGAAGGAAATCTATTGGTCAGCCCTGGCCTAGAGCTAGGCCCAGGCTGCTGTAAGAGAGTACCATATGCTCAAATAGAAGCTTCAATTTAAACCAAGTGAACCAGACTTCATTACTCAGGACTTCTCAGAGCCTTCCATTTGCTCATTTTCATGGAGAATGAAAGGGGGATTTAGAACCATGGAACACCTAATGACACCGGTCCTAACATTCCAAGGAATTCTGGAAAATGCTGCCGTAGAGAACTAGCACGTAATATTATATCTCCTAGTAGCACCAATGCTTTCTAATACTCCCTCTTTTTCTACATCTCACAAGATACCTGAGAAATGTTGAAAAGCACAAAAGTGTATGATCATTGTACACATGAAGGCGAAAGGACAATCTACCCTTGAATCTGAGTGTGTGTGGAGCAGGAGAAAGTGGGATCTGTTTTCTCAAGGGGAGTGAAAAACACAGGAGGACCAATAGCTGTATCTTGCTCTGATCATTTTAGCAAGTACTGACCAATAGGACATGGGCTGATATAAACAAGAGAAGAAAAGAAAATTCTGCATTACTCAAAATAGAATCCTCAGGAAACTGAGTGAGCAGGTGTATTCCACGGATTTATCCTAAAACAAGACCCTTACAAACAATGCAGACAAAGAATAAAAATAAAACTAGCTTAATAACATCCTGTAAAGGTCACTTGGCTTCTGCTGTTGCCATTCTGTTGTGAGTTTTGTACAACACCTGATGTTTTTGACCCTTAGAACATGTTTTGTTTTGTTTTGTTTTTCTCAGTTTTCTTACTAAGAGTTTTAGATAGTCCCCAATCTTTCTGTGGGTAGTAGAAACTTTTAACTGTACCTTGAAATTTTACAAGATAACAGCAATTTACTTTATAGTTTCTTTCTATAATTGTAAAAGAGAAAAAAAAATTTATCATCACATCATCAATTTTCAAGAAAACTATTGAGCATCTTCCATGTCTTCATGGAAGTCAGGATGTGCTGAAGACCTGAAAAGATACCCCGGAAAGTTTACTTATTTTCAAGAAAAATGGGAGATGGTCTTTAGAACTCCTCCATCGGCCTCATTTACTCAGATGCTCAGGTTACTTGCTTGAACCCATTTTTCTATGCATGGCAATATTTTTCTTTGTCCATCTTCTCCTTTCAGACCAGCTTTTGAAGATTACTAGTATGAGCTAAGTTCACTTTGCCATTTATTTTCACTCTTTGTTAAGGTAAAGATGTCATCCAAGGTTATGACTTTTCCTCTGAGTTCAGCTTTGACCATATTATAGTGTTCCCATTTTTCATTTCTTTCTAAATACTCTATAATTACAGTTTTGATTTTTCTCTTAGGTATTTTAGTGTGTGTGTGTGTGTGAGAGAGAGAGAGAGAGAGAGAGAGAGAGAGAGAGAGAGAGAGAGAGAGAGATTACAATTATTATGTGTTGTGG